ACTAAAAATATATGTTTTTCGTTCTGTTCTGATTAATTTAATTAAGAAGTTTAATTAGAATGAAGTTATTTCGTATATTCTTACTCCAGTTCAATTGAGCAGTGCTATAATCTTACACCGTATAACTGATCAATTCCTTAATCGTAGTAATAGAGATTTATGAAAGTCATTCTACATTCATTAATCGTATATTAAAAATAAAGTCGTTTAATGATTTTCTCGTTCGATCTGACCATCATCTGTTTCATTATTAAACATTCCAAAAATATCAAGTAGTTGTCGATGTTGTTCTTCTTCTTCTTCTTGTATTTTGTCAATAGATAGCCGAATACCATATTTCATTCGTTTTATTTGCATATCATCACAGGCGTAGATTTTTTCATATATTTTTAATGCTCTCTGATAATAATCAATAGCAAGTTCATAACTACCTGTATAAAAATATACCACACCGATAACATCACAACTTTGACCGATTAATAGATGATCGGCTGTTAATACTTGTTGTCGAATTTTTAATGACATACGAAAATATTCCAGTGCTTCATCATATTGATTATTGTCCAAATAAACATTACCAATATTATAATAATTTGCTCCAATAAGTGGATGATGTTCGGGTAAATATCGTTGATTTACATCTAATGCTTGTCTATGAAATTCTAATGCTTTCTGATATTCCTTTGTCGAACGATATATATTACCAATACCAGTATAAAATAAACTCAATTCTTGTTCCTCATTTGTATCTGTTAAAGAAGTAACGATATTTTTCATTATTTCTAAACCATTAAAATAATTTTCTAAAGCTAAATCATATTTTTGTAAACTATCATAGATATTTCCAATTGAGTTTAACATTGATGCAGCTACACGAATACGATCCGGAGTGTTAGAATCTTTTAATACTTCATATATAGCTTTATAATTGATTAATGCTTCGTCCCATTCACCTTCAAAGAAAAAAAAGATTGAGAACATCAGTTAGACAAACGATTAGCAGTAGTATCGAACCTAAATGTTCTTGAGCTTGTGCAATTATATTTACCAAAATAAATGGACGGTCTACACCTGTCAATAAAATGGTAGCACATAGATTCAATGCTTTCCTATAATATCCCATGTCAAGCAAAAGATTTCCAAATACTAGTAAAAGATTGTTTTGATCATTAAGTAAATTACGTTTTTCATAATTAATATAGTCATGTGCTATATTTGTTCCTTCCTCTGTTGTTTTCATTTGAAATATCCATAAACTATTTGGATGATTAGAACTAGGACGTTGTACATTATGTATTTTTAATGTTACACCTAAATCAAAGAGAACTTCACGTTCTTCTGGATATTCACTATATTCATGTATATCAGCAAAAATTATTTTATTACTATCAACTTCAATTTCAAATAAAACACCTTCTTGATTATAATTCGATGTAGCAAAACGTTCAGCAACATCTCTCACATGACTTGTCGAAATAAATCCATTTAATGATATAATATTACCAATATTAGCTGCTAATGTTTCAGTTTCACTTGTTGATAAACGAAAACCACGATATAAATAAATAATTTCTTTATGTTGTTGTTGTTTATGTTTTAAAGCTAATTGATGACAAAGATCAGATATATATAAACGAAATGTATATAATTCAGTCATATCTTCTGTTCTTAACGCTTTATTGATCATTTTATAAACAAATGTTTCTTTTGTATACCATTCAATAGCCATTTCTGATTTATAAGTCTGTTCAAATAAATTAATATTATTTAATTCAGTTTGATTATTTCGATAATATTGTCTACATTTTTTTAACATATCATCATGTTTTCTAGATCGGGAGCGTACAAAGCATAATGCTACTGGTATTCTCAATTTTATTTATCAGGACTCACGTTTAATTTAATAGATAT